AAATTTTATATTGAGTTCTCTAGCTTCTGCAGTTGGTATGAAAAAGAAGGTGTACAGATGAATCTTTGAAGTTCATTAATAACTTACATCATGCCATGAAAGCTGGTCACTAACAAGTTGAATATCTCTCTGAAAGAAGTTTCCCCAAGTATAAGATGTCACACGGCAGCAAGACAGACGTTTGAATTCATCATAGAGCTGATTACTACCAATTGGAATAAATTCAATTTGTGAATCGGAATATCGAGATTTTCTCCATTTGTTCTCCTCAATAAAATTGAATGATGGATGAAAAGGATTATTGATATAGAGTTTCTGATAGGCTGTAAAGTCGGCAGGAAAAACTTGAGTGGGCACCAAAACATAATCATGACGGCATTTTCTTTCCCAAAAAATTGGTGATTTGAGAATATTATAGAAACGTCGGCAAGCAAGTGAGATTAAGAGAAGATCTTTATGAGTTTGTTTCAATAGAGGCTGATGAATCGAATAGTCGAAGTATAGTGAGTCCGGCGTGAGACGCACGTGATTATTTTTTGTAAAAGACGGCAGATGACGCAGCGAGAGGAAAATCTGTTCGAGCAGTTCATTAGGCAGACGATCGAATGGATTCATATCAGAAGTCTTCTAAAATTAACAAGTAAAACATATATAATTACGTGATTCATGTTTCTATGTTAACAAGGACCTAGTAAAGTTACCATCGAAACCATCATATTTGTTCAATTCAACAGATTGATTACAAGTGCCACAGCTTTTGAAAAATAACATGAAACTTTTGCTCTTACTGTTCATAAGTCTCATTTTTCTTCGGATTTCCATATGACTTATTTTATTTCAAAACAAAAAAAGAAGAAAACGACACGCTCAGACAAAAAAGCTACCAGATATTTTTTCGAAAATATCCTCTCTCTGTCTCTATCTAACGTACAGGGACATAACGATAACGTTTTTTTTCTTTGAGAGACGAAAAGAAAAAAGAATACAAGAATGTCACACATGTCATAATAGCAAGAAAACAACAGTACAGTCAAACTCAAAAGAAAGAACACGCTATCTAACTAAATATGTATCATGACCAATGGCGATGACACATAGTTTACATCGACAAGTCGTCGATCATGATTTAGCTGAGTGAGTACCGACAGTATTATACGCGCTTTGTATATACAAATATATTGTAATTATGGTCGAGAATATTGTGTCGATTCTTTTTGTTTTCTTTCGCCTAGTGTGAATGAAAAAAGTTTCAAGATAAACAATAGTTTTGTAACTTTTCATCACCACCTTCATTACTAGTGACGATTATTTTCGAAGACGAATTTCTGGTACCATGCTTAAGATATAGGTTTATTCAAATCTCATAAGCAACAAATACAAACCGATTACTTCGAAAAAAATGAAAACCTCGTCAATAACATTTTTTTTCTCGACTACGTAAGTCATTACATGCATACAAGAATAACAACAGCACATAACGTAAAGAGAATGGAAGTAACCAATGAACAGAGATCTGATCAGATGTCAGACTTTGACTAGCGGTGCATATCGATAATAATTTGCTTGACTAATTATTTATATGAGTTTGCAAAGACCTAGATTGTCAAATGGCTTAAAAAATCATTATGTATTTTTAATATTCATAGGTGTCACGATCAGAGTTTGCATATTTTCGATATTAAAAAACACTTTCAACGCACGCGTTTTGACTAGGGATGTGCGGTGTCAGTTTACTGATCACTGCCCAGAGGAAAAAATCGTACAAAGATCATATAAGATCTTACAAGATCAGACCGACCATCGGAAACCGTCAGATTCATACTGTATGATCTTATGGAATCGTAAAAGTATCTTACTGAAAGATTCTTGCATAATCTAAAGGTTTCTATCTTCTAAGATCTTGTTTAGTCAGATTAGATCGTCAGTTTTGGTTCCTCTCAAATAAATAGCTTCTATAACGATCAGTTTTATTTTTCAAAACTAATGATTTAGCAATCAAATATCGAATGAAAATATAAGTATGAATTTTTATAAAATAAATTCATTTTTTTTATTTAGATTGAGCGGAATCATAAGGTCAATGGTAAGTATAATTTCAAGAGTGAATAGTTTCCATTCTCTTCCAGGAAGAAAGCTGGACGAGAAGAAAGAGGGCAATGGCACGTTGAAGACCAGGGAAGGGTGTAATAGAGCAAGAGCATGAACTGTAAAATGTATTCGAAGATGCCGTAAAGATTGAGATGGTTGTTACAAAATCGTATAAGAATCGTACTGTACGATTTTATGAGAAATGTAGGCTTTAAGATTATCATATGAAATCGTACAAGATCATACAATAAATTCCAATATGATTTTTGAGAATCGTAGAAGATCTTATAGTCAGATTCTTTGATCTGGATGAGGGCACCGGCACAGTGTTCACTTGAGCACTGACTACACTGTCATTACACTGGCGTTGACTTTCATCAATAACACTGAAGAATTCACATCAGTGTTCACTGAAACACCGAGGGTCACTGAAAAACTGACGTTCAGTGGAACCCTGCCCACACTGACATGGATGTGGATGTGAGTGTGGGTGTCGATGCGAATGAAGAGAAGACTAACACTCACACCTACCCTAATAATTAATCAAATGAGAAGATGTTAATCTTCGAAGACAAACACGGACCTCAAATTACTTCACATGATACTTAGGTCTATCCAAAAGTAATGTCGCCTCTATCTTATTTCTTTATAAAAGGGTCAAAAAAAATTCTTTTTTTATACGATGATAAAGAAAATTAAGCTCTATTTTTCTATACTATTTCATCACTATCCAACTAGTATTATACTAATAAAATTTCGAGCAGAACTATTTTTGTATCAAACTTAACTAACGGGTGAGGCAGATTCAATGTTTCAATCACTTAATACATTGTATTAAAAAACAAACTATACCACAAGATGCAGCGTGAAAAGCTCTACAATCTACAAAACAAAGCTTATTTTAATTATGTTATTTCTTGTCAAAGAAATCAAAATTCTGTGCGACCAATTTTCATTGCCCCGAAAAAATCATGCGAAGAGAAATTCAGTTTTTCTTATTTCATATATAAAATAAACTGTTCTTTATAAATTGTAGAGCTTTTCACGCTGCATCTTGTGGTATATTTTATTTTTTAGTACAACGTATTGAGTTATTGAAAATTGAAATGCAAAGCGTATTAATCTGCCTCATCTATTAGTTAAGTTTTACACAAAAACAGTTCTTATCGAAATTTTATTAGTATAACACTAGTTGGATAGTAATGAAATAGTATAGAAAAATAGAGCTTCATTTTCTCTATCATTCTATAAAAAAAGATTTTTTTTTTTTGACCTTCTAAAAGAAAATAAGATAGACGCGACATTACTTTTGGATAGACCTAAGTATATTAATGGTTGAGGTCATGCCAATCAATTCTCTCTTCTCATCGACGGTAGATCAATCAATCATGACATTGACTAAAATATTTTCTATTTCTATTTCTATATTTTATTTTTTCGTACAACTATTGTTATTCACTGTTTTTTGATTTTACCGATCATAAAAGAATGATATCTTTGATAACATATCATTGCTGAAAACTCAAAAGAAATTGGTTCCACAAAGTTTCAAATGAAGAATCCATAATTTAATACGAGCCGACTGTTGAATCAACCCATCTTATATATTTTAATGATTACTTGATTTCAATGAAATATGATTATCAAAAATGTTGAAATCTATAATAGTACAGTTGATTCTCATCTGTATTACTGCTTTTTTCTCGATGCCTAATTTCTTTGATGAAAGCCGAGAAGATCATATAAGACACTTTTATAATTAATATTGGGTGTGGGTGTGGGTCTCTCCGATACTCACACTCACACCCGCCCACACCCACACCCTCTAATGTCCGCGCCAGAATGAGAGAAGGGTGGGTGTAAACGCATTAACTCGACAACCACAATAGCTAGCGATCTGCGGTTTTCAGCAATAGAAAGAGGAGACCCTGGGATGTCTTTTTGGATAAAATTGATTAAGACAAAGTCATTTTGAACACTATCATTTTTGTGAATCTTATCTTAGAACCCATGGAAATGGCATGCCACTGTTATGCTTTTATTTCCTTTCTTTATTCTTGACTCTTCTTATAAAACAAAACAACTAGCTTCAATTCAAAAAACAAACAACTAAAAAGCAACAAAAAATGTATTCCCTTTCTCTTTCTCTTTTCCGTTCTCTACCGTCATTTATCCATCATGACGAATATCATTAAACGAACAACAGAACAGTTCTCATCCAATGTGATAAGGTTATATCAGAATAGAGATGGCACTCTTATGTCAGGAGATATATCTCCTGACATAACAGCCACTAAAATAAATTTTTGATCTTGATATTCTCATTAAATAGAGAAATGCCAAATCTATACTTCTATGCTAAGGTCAAATAGCTAGCTTCTTGTTTTCTTATCGTCATCAAGCTGCATCGAGTTTCGGATGCTCTATAATAATGAGTATTACTCTGAGCTGAAAACAATCATTACCACAGGATCACCCAGAATGCATTCTGAAATTACAAGCTCTATCAAAGCGATGACTTAGATGATAAATGATTATGAATACTGGGATTCAGAAACGTGTTTTAAAAGAATTTCAATCGCACATAAAAATAAAAAATGCAAAATATGAGAAGCAAAAAACTGATTATTAAATATTATGAATATTTCTAGATTTTATACGTATAGAAATTCTACGATTTATCACATTCTGTAATGACGGTTTTCACATCGAGATACATACCTCAATATAATTAAATATTTTACTAAAACATACCATTATTAGATTGAGTGCTACGATATATAGATATATATATATGTAAACATTTTTTCATCAAGTATATCATGCCGAGAATACAGTTTATTTCAACTCCGTTACAATCATTTGGATCACGCAAGTCTTTTTGATAACTCAAAAATGCAAAATATATATGATCAACTGTTACTATTTTCTTCATCATCTTCTGACGAGACATTAGATTCGTCGTCCGAAGCATAATCCATCGAATCAGATTCAAGATATTCTTCAACAAACCGATCAGCATCTCTAAATAGATTCTCGATTTTTCGTGTATGTGCTATTGCCTTGGCGGAAGCGGCACCACCGTAACCTGTAATGAATTCAGCAGCAAGATCACGTACATCAGTCATTCGAAATAGTGTATTATTCTTGCGAACATAATCTTTCAGACTGGCCCAACATAATTCAATTGGATTCAAACAACAATGCTTCACTGGGAGACGAATAATTTCTACATTATTTTGCNAGCTGTTACAGTGTATTCTTATAACATATACCTCGATCCTCTCTGTTCTCTTCTCTTTGATATTTTTGCTCCTCTCTTTTCGTTTCTATAACTTGTTTCTTTGTCCTTGATTAACCTTTGTCTTCTGTTCTCTTTTGTCCATGTTTTTCATGTGCGTATATAAACTCTTGTTTTTCAAAGAATAAAGAGAGAGAGAAGAAAGCACATCTTTAAGTCTGTTCGTCGCTCTTCGTGAGCATGAACGCTAACAGAAGCCTTTGCATTTCTCTGTTTTCTATAGGAGATGCAATCCCACACATCACAAAATAGCACCCACAAGCCTCACTAATAAAATGAAGAACCGTACCATCGCTTAGTGGTGAGAAGTTGTTGTTATTCGGTCGTTATTAGTAACAATAACTTTTTTTTCTGAAAAATGTTCAACTCGAATTGCTGCTTATCTCAACTATGCTAATTCTATTGGCCTATGCTTAAGGAATGAATTTGCTACGGCTATGACAATAACCGATCTCGAAATTCAGAATTCTCACAGATTATATAGAGGATGGGTCAAAAGTAACAAAATAAAAAGTTTTTTTGGTTTTTTTTTAAATATCGACAGTCACATCTCATATTTATACTACATATACTAGAGAATACTAGTAAAAACAAAGTTGTAACCGGTTCGGTCGGACCGAGCAGGTTGAAGTGATTGAACGGGCCGATTTTCACCGGTTTTTACCGATTAAAATATATTTTATGAATGTACAGATTTTTCAGATAAAACTTGTTAACAGCAAGTTTTTATGCCCTTATCAAAATAACCAACTTATTTTATTTTAAAAATTATACAGTTTTTTCTTCTGTATCTCAATCTATTTCATGTTTTTAATCGAAATACACTTTATTTTTTAAAAAGTGGACTCGAAACTATATTAGTTCAGTTAAACTTATCTCATAGATTTTTTGCGAAGATAAAATTTAGGTTCGAGCCATCGTTGAGAGAGAAGCGTTACGTTATTTGTAAAGGTTAAGTGAATCAAATTCAAAATCTGGAATGTGGCAATCAGTTGATCTGTAAATGACACTTTTTTCAAGCTATATATAAATATCTCAGGTATTTATCTTTGAGAAACCAAACAGATGTGAAGATTAGAACATGATATTCGTTCATGATGATCTGCAGAAACCAGAACGAAAAAGGTAAATGACTGTTTCTGAAATCATCCCTATTAGCGAACTAATAATGACGCAACAAGCGGGTCATATTCTGTTAGTTTTCACCGACCTAATAGATGTTTTGAACCGGCTGGTCTATGACCTCGATCGGTCACAAGCTTAGGTTGTCTCCTAGTTTTCTTATTGGAAATGTTATAAACAAATTGATAACAAAGGTGACTGCCATATATGTGCTACAGAAAATATTAGACTGATAAATAAGAGAAAGAACTCGAATCAGATTTGTTTTCGAGTAAATTGATTAAACTTATTTATCGGATATTTTCATTAAAAAACTAAGAGCAAAGTGTTCTTTTTCATTTTCTATCAATTTTCAAGCCAAAAAGATCAATTTAATCAAAAATTTCAGTGAAATAAAAAACTTGAGGGAAATCCATATTACCGGGAAAATCGAAAACACTATCGTTTTGTAGTTATCATGAAAAAGCCTTATCCTCTAAACACGTGAAACGTGTTTTTTTTTAAATTAACTTCTACTTATTCATTTAAATTATAAGAAAATACTTAAAAAAACAAGGCACAAAACGCTCAAGACCAGGCCTTCTCGAATAAGTGATATTTCGATTTTTTTATTGCATTGATTATTTTCCTTTAAAATCGATAAAAATTTTTTAAAAAATTAACTGTTTTCTCCTGGGTAAAAATCTATAAGCATTTAGAATGAAAGTTCGCCCCTAACATCACTTTTGTTATATAAAGAAACTTCATAAACTCGCCTTTTTTTAGCGGTCTCGAATTATTTTTTAGACCAGTCGGTCACCGGTTGGACTGGACCGGTGTAAAATTTCTAGACCGGTTACAACTTTGAGTCAGAGATGTGTCATCTGATCAACCTCTAAGCATAGCAATTGGTTCCAGACACATACATATATAAATTGCTCGTATGTGAGTACATAAAAAATATCATGCTTGTTATGTTACATACAATTTTCATATGCTTCCTTGTTTATCCCAATCTGGCATACAAATTCGATTGGATCACATTTTGAACTCCTTTAGGCCAAAAGAATATGAAATTCAATTGGGTCGAATTTCTATTTCAGAATGGGATAAACAGGCAAGAATATGAAAATCGTATGTAACACAACCAACATGAAATTTTTCAAGGAGTCACATACGAGCAATTTATACATGTGTGTGTCTGGAATCAATTTCTATGCTTAGAGGCTGATCATATGACACATCTCTGATTAGTATCCTCTAGTATATGTAGTATAAATATGAGATGTAACTATCAATATTTAAAGAAAAAAAAACCGAAAAGCTTTTTATTTTGTTTCTTTTGACCCACTCTCTATATGATCTTTGAGAATTCTGAAATTTTGAGATCAGTTTTTGTCATAGCCGTAGCAAATGCATTCCTTAAACATAGACCAATAGAATTAGCATAGTTGAGATAGGCAGCAATTCGAGTAGAAATTTTTTCAGAAAAAAAAGTTATTTGTTATTTTTTGTTATTAATAACAATAACAATAAATTCACATCCCTACCATCGCTAACGTAGCATTCGAAAGCATTATTCAAACATGATCTTTGATAAGGATGAACAAATTCTTTTTATAGGATCCTGCTGTGATTTGAAGAAAATGCAGCATGGAAACAAAGGAAATGAGTGTAAATTAAATACGTTAAGTTGACATCGTGCGTACGTGTTGGTTAGAAACTTATCAACAATCCTCTTCGAACTATGATATTTGGCCTAGGCGACAGAGACAAAAGAACTGACGAAACATTCAAGTTTCACTTAACAGGGGATTTGTGAAAGACGTGCAGCANCGAACAGCTCATTCAACACGAAGTTCCACATATATTAATAATAATTCTAATGATAATCATATGGATATGGATAATGATTTGAATAATTATGGCTTAAAGTTTATTAATTCTACAATAAATTCTATTAATGAACGTTTTGGAGAACAGTAGTTGAATCTAAGCATATTGAAAATTTATCAAATGGCATTGAACAACTTTCTGTTTGTTTTAAAAACAGTTTAGCATGTCCTGATATAATTCTCATTATTCCAATTTGGAAAATAAATTTTTCATTAACAAAACGAATTGCAAATCCATTTGCTGTTTCCGAACCATCTTTATTTTTTTCATGAATTCGGATTAAAGCTGATACAATTGAAACCATGTGGGCCCACACAAATTCAGCTAATTGATAGTGATACACCCATCGGATGTCACTTGAACTTGGTCCTTTAGAATCTTTAGAAAAGCATAAAACATTAGATACAAAACATTTTTTGAAATAAGAATACTATATAATGAGTTTTTTCTCTCTTAACTTTATTTTCCTTCGTTAAAGTGAAAAGAATTTTTCTTTACCTTCTTTACTTGTTGCATGAAAGATTTGTGATCTTTTTAATATATCCAATCGTTTTGCAGATTCTTGAAAAAAGACAAGTGTTCTGTGAATTAAATCGTATGATTGATAAAATTCATTTGTTAGTGTGTCTTTCACAGAAAGATTAATCAAATGGCTTCGGCAATGTACATAAAAAGCAAATGCATTAATTCTTGATCTAATATGTCCTTGAGCTTGACATCTAACTGAAGATGCACCATCAAAACATTGACCGATCAAAATAAATTTTTTATCTAATTCTTTTTATAAATCGAATAAGAATTGATTAATAACATCAAAAATCGCCTATAAAAAAGCAAAAATATTTTTAATACAATATAGCAAGAAGTACTTCTCCTGTTTGAAAATGTATTTCATATAAACAAATAATTCTTTGAACTAATTCTTTGGTAGAAGGATTAAAATAACGTAAACAAATACATAATTGTCCCATCACTGTAACATCGCATGTTTCATCTGCTATTATTGAAATATAAGTAACATTTTTTTAATTCTTCTAATCGTTTTTTCCATAGCCATTTTTGCACACTAAGTGACCAATCACCACGACTTTCTCCACTCCAATAAAGTTCTTTTTTGTTAGCTATAAATAGTCATTGAACTATTGGTTCAGAAAGATTTAGATGTTGCAGTTGGATCAAATCTTTCAAGTTCATAAATGCAAATTCTTGCTTCAATAAGAAAATAAACGATCGTGCAACAGCACGTAAATAATTTAAACTTGCTGCTTTTGTATTAATTTTTGTTGATTTTAATTGTTATATAACTGTACTATGATCTTCAGATTGTATCTTTGATTGATATTTCATTAATGATTGTTTATGAAGTGTAGATTCTTCATGTTGTCTAATTCCTACGATAAAGCTGTTTGAAAAAGTGTTTTTCATAAAATCAACACTTTTTGCGGAGAAAAAAACTTAATTTTGGACAAATTTTCTTCTTAATTTACTATTGCGATACAATTAAAAGCTTCTGGGAGACTTGGATTCGAGTATCAGCTTAACTTCGACAAATATATTACATATCTTGACAAACACTGCAGCGTCATAATTATATAAACTAATCTAGGAAAAACTAGTGCATCAAATTGTCAAATCTACCGATAAGGCACGAATTTTGAAAAATGATTTTGATTTAGTATGCTATCAAAAGCTTCATCAAAACCTGAATGTCTTTTTGTGGTGATCTTAGTTGTATGAAGAATTTAGACTTAATAGATTAAAAAGCTATTGAAAGATTTTGGGTGTGGGTGTGGGTGTGGGTATGAGAGTGGATATGGGTGTGGATGTTGG